GGAACCACAAATATATGAACYTATAATGTAGCTGAATGGGGGATGTGGGCTTTATTTCAGAGGCGGCGTTTCTGCTGCCCAAGCTTGTGTGATTTAGGATGCAGAGATGTAGATTTGTTTATTTATTTATTTTTAATTAGTATGAGCTTGAGCTCTTGCGTTGTTATCAAATTGAAAACTTGCCGTTGTCCCTTTCATTGGATGTGCCTGCCTTGGGAAGGCATTCAGTGTTCCCTCTGGTGCTTAACAGTGACTCCTCTGAGTCTTGATCAGCCCTCTCCATTCATGCTGCAATCAAGTTCAAACTGCTCTCATACTTAAAGCTGTCTGTGGTCTTCCTTGTCCACCCCATACATCCTCATTTCCTACTGTGCAGCTTGTTTTCTGTTTATTTTCATGTCTGCGACTGTATATTTGCAAAACAAAGACTAAAAACTATTTTTTTGCAAATATACTAAAAACTGTTTTGCAAAACAAAGACTACCTGTTCCCAGGTAGTTAATGTCTCAAAACTCAGTAGAACTGTGAGTAGCTTCAGGTGGTCCTGCCTGTCTCTCCTGTGCCTTTGCATTGTGCAGACCAAGCCTTGGAGATGCACTAATTCACTTACAGTGGTGTGTCCTGAGCTGGCTTTCCCAGACRGGGCCATGTGCATTTCGTCTGGGTTGCCTGTTGACAAAATACAATTTCCTGCATTATTCTGAAAGAAACAGTATCAACCAGCTCCAGTGTCCATTCATAGTCTCCACCGTGGGCTTTGTAACTGCCTTAGGTAATTTGACTACCCGTAAGCGAGCGGGTTTTCTAGTCCTGAGCAATGGAGGAGGACACCCAGGCCCGACTAAAACCATCCTGAATACCCCATCTTAAATAACCAAGCATATCTGACCGGCCTTGCAGTAAACTGTTGCCGTGGGCATTATATGCATCGAAAAAAATACATATAATAGTCACCTTCCATGAGGTAAGGGAAGAGAATTAATAGGCTGGAGTAGGAGTGTAGGTCTGTCCTATTAATAACAAGCTGCTGCATGCTGTGCAGTGCAAGGCACGTCCTCCTCACCGGTGCGTGTTGCTGCGACGGGAGGAGCGAGTGCCTCGGCGCACATCGCAGCAAGGGCAGCAGCAATTCGGAAGCCTCTAACCTGTTTGGTCGCCTCACCTGAAGTAGCACTGAAGACATACGGGAAAAGTGAGCCTTAGTCTCCGTAGTGTTTTTGCTGGKCTGGTATGAGCTGTGAGTATTTAGTGAAGAAGGGGAATTTTGGTAACTGCTGGTTCTGAGCTTGGTACCGCTTGACAGTATTGGCCTAAATGTCTGCTGATCTTTGGGTTTAAAAATGGCAGGATATGCAATAGCCAAAAGCAGCAACCTGGAAGGAGCCTAAAACACCAGTATTATCCATCAACTGGATTGCTAGGTGGTTGTGATCTAAATTATTTAGCATAGACTACTAATCTGKCTGTTAATAGCAGATAACTGGGGTAGTTACCAGGCCACAGTAGCAGAGTGAGGGGACTAAACAAGACACGAGCTATCGGCTACAGAAATACAGTCCAGATTTACCAGGGTGACCTTGAATTGCTGCAACTGGAACCTCTTTGGATACTGCAGCTCTGCTGCCAGGTAATACCTGTTTACCCTATAAATATCTGGAGAGAACTAATGTTTCAAGTCCCRGTGCTGGGGCAGGCGGAAACTCCCCTCCTGCCCCCAAGATACAAGAAGTTAATTAGTGTTTCATTAGATAGCACGTGCCCAGCAGGATGTTGTGCGGCAGGAATAAAGATTAAATGGGCTGAAAGAAAGCCAGGGGGGAAATGTCAATGTAAAGATGATTATACAGTGGTTTTATCTTTATATATGTCACATTTGAAATACATGAGCTCTCAATATGCCTGTTAACTCTCGTTATTTGAATCTATTTCAGATATTGCTTTTAGAAGTGTGGGGAGAAAGACAGCATAGCTAAGCAGAGACAGAGCTGGGGGTCCGGTGCTTGCCTGGCTCTCAACACAGAGCAGGAAGAGGAGAAATATCCCATGGTTTCCTTGCATGAAGATAGGATCTAATCTTGTGAGAGCCAGGAGAGATAGCAAAAGGAAGTAGGGAATACCTGCCTTTTCAGGCTACGGAAGTACAGCGGGATGGTGGTACTCATTTAAATATCATTAAATAGTCTCGGAAGAGCCAGACATGTCAGCAGTATAGTCCTTGGACATCTGTCTCCTGAAAAACATTCTTAAACTATTTGTATTTAGTCCACTAACSGTAAATTTTGCTTTCTCCTCTCTTCTCTGAGGTGTTGTGTTAGATGCCGCAAAACAAAAGCACTGTTTTGTGTTAAAACTGGCATAATTTATACTGGAATCATGCTCTTCTTAAAACTTACATATATTTCTTTTAAAGGAAATATTGAATCAACACTCACAAGATGTTTCTCTATCACATTGATCAAAATAAAGTGATTTACAAAATCATTATTGTTGCCGTGTTTRTTTTGCTGTAGTCTTTTTTAGGGTACTTCCCAGAGCTGCTAGCGAGAACCTGGGCTCCTTTAAGCTGAGCCCTTAGGCAAACCCTACACTCCTTCAAAGGTTTGATCCTAAAATGGCAGTTGGAGTCTGGTGGGATGTGCTTGGCTCGTGAGTGACAACCTCCTAGTGAGYGTGTGGTGCAGAACAGGAGAAAAACTTAGGGTGTTCGTTTACTGGTTTCAGCGAGGAGTGGTTTGAGAAGCAGAAATCCTGTCAGGCTGAGCCTCTTGCAGCCACTGGCCGAGGAAATGGCAGGAGAGGTAGAGAAAAGGACTTCACAGCAAAGGTAGAAGTGGGGAGGCTGGAGGATAGAGGCAGCTAAGGGAAAGGCACAAGCTGCAAGATGTCAATAGCAAAGGCCAGGTCCAGGAGCCCCCGAGCTGAGTGTAACTTGCTCTTTAGGTACTCACTGTTAGTCCCAAGCTGGTGGTAAGTATATTTTAGCTGTTCAGTTTGAAATCTGTGCCCCCTTTGGTTATAAAATGGTTGAAGCATGGTAAATTGCTAATTTACTTTTGTATAGCTCTCCATTCTATATGCTTTTAATTCCTTAAGCCATAAAAAAAAGCTCATGCTGAGTTCTATACCTGCAACAGTTGAAGAAATGCCAGTTGAAGAATTTTATTAGAATAGGGTTTATATGAGTATGATTTTCTAATTTACAGCAGTTTAAAACTCCCTATAAAGTAAAATGCTCTTTTAAACATAGAGCAGCCACTCTAGCATATCCTAACGCCTCAAGCTTGTGCGTTTTGTTGAGTTGACCTGTGTGACTCTCGGAGACCATAACAGGTCTGGTGTTTCTCTGAACGGCTTCCGTTGAGCTGAACCTCTGTCTGCTTCCACSCTGAGACCCAGTTTGCCAGTTATCAGAGTGCAGCTGGTGGCCTTTCCTTTTCGTTTTGGGTTCTGGGCTCCCCAGTRTAAGAGGGACGTGGAGCTTCTSGAGAGGGTCCRGAGAAGRGCAACCAGGATGATTAAGGGAATGGAACATCTCTCGTATGAAGAGAGGCTGAGTGAGCTGGGCCTGTTTTCTCTGGAGAAGAGAAGGCTGACAGGGGATATGATKAATATGTATAAGTTCAGGAAGGGAGAATGCAGGGAGGAAGGGGACARGCTGTTCTCACTGGTGGCCAGCGACAGGACGAGGGGTAATGGCCACAAACTGGAGCACAGGAAGTTCCGTCTCCAGGTGAGGAGCTACTTCTTTACTGTTAGGGTGACAGAGCAGTGGAACAGGCTGCCCAGGGAGGTTGTGGAGTCTCCTACTCTGGAGGTCTTCAAAACCCGCCTGGATGCCACCCTGTGCCACATGCTGTAGGTGTGCCTGCTTGAGCAGGAAGGTTGGACTAGATGATCTCTAGAGGTCCCTTCCAACCTTGAATATTCTGTGATTCTGTGATTCGTGGTTGCACTGGCTCAAGTAGTCCCAGTCCCCAGGTCCTACAGCCCTACCTTGGCTGTGCATGGTTACATATAGAACTGCATTGGGAAGTGGCTTGGATTTTCTTTTTTCTTTTTTCCCCTTCTCTTTCTCTTTCTCTCTTTTTTTTTTTTTTTTAATTGCCTAAATTACTGCATTACTGTGAGTTGAATTTTCTGCTGGGAGTCTGTTCTAGACGACTGTTAAGTTTCAGGGACTATGGGGAGCACAGAGACATTTTTCTGAAATACGTGACCTGCAGCACAGTAAATGCTGAAATCTTCATCAGTCTTTTGGGGCTGGGAGGTGAAGGGGAATACTGAAATGTACCTGTAAAAACTCCTCTTCAACTTAACACACATTTCTTCAAAGAGTGAAAACTCCCTGGATTCAGATTTATCCACAGTGAAGAGCATTTGGAGCTATGAATTTGTGTGAACATGCTGAGTCACTTTAGAAAGAAGTGCTGCTAAAATACTGAGCAATAGTGGTTTGGGTCTCCTGATGTTATGTGAACCTTCTGACTTTCAMATCTCTTCTGAAAACCTAAATTCCTTCCGTGTTTGCACCAAAATATTTCCCTGCACTTCCTTTCTCTCATACCTAAAATGAACTGCACTCCTTCCCCAGTGCTTTCTTAGTGGCTTCCACTGTAATCCTACTTATCCACAGTCACTTTCCTGCCTTCCAGGATGAGTCGGTGGGAAAAACAGGCCATTTTGCAGTGCCTGGTGGTTAGTAAGCTAGGTGCAGTATTTTGTCCCACCTCTGTGAGTTTAACACAGCRAGGACACTAATCTCCAGGGCTGGAGATTACTGGTGTATCTGTGATCTGGGTGTCCCAGGAAGACAGAGAAATCTTTACCGGGTTGCATATGAATGCTGCCTTTAATGCTTGCTTCCCACGACCATGTCATGAGACACAAGAGGGCAAATTAAAAAAATAAAGCTCCTGAATTTCATGAGTTCTTTGTTAAATCTTAAACTTCGAGACCTTCCTGCGCTGCAGCTTGTACAGTGACCTACTTGTATCTTGCAGATAAGGAGAAGGAGAAGATAAAACTCGAGGAAGATGAAGCAGCAGCTGCCAGCACCATGGCAGTCTCTGCTTCCCTTATGCCACCCATTTGGGACAAAACTATTCCTTATGACGGAGAGTCTTTCCACCTGGAGTACATGGATCTTGATGAGTTCCTTCTGGAGAATGGAATTCCTTCCAGCCCTACTCACCTGGATTTGAACCAGAATCCACTCTTGCCTGTGGCTGAGCTGGAAGGAAAGGAGTCTGCCAGTGCTTCCACTGGCTCACCTGCATCATCATCATCTACTGCAGTTTACCAGCAATCTGAAGCGGCCTCCAGCACAGGTAGATGCAACACACGGGGTCTCTGTGAGGTGTTTTTGTTTTTCCTTTTCTTTTATCTAAAGTTCCCCCTCAGACTGAGGGGAGCACGCTCAAGCTACAAAGCTAACCTCAGAGTGTTAACAACATATTAACACATGTCAGTTCATGAAGATGCTGCTTCCCCCCTCCCACAAAATGCACTGGTGTCCCTGAGCTTGCAGTTGTTTCTCCTTTGAAAGCAGAAGAGCTGAAACACCAACAAAAAGTAGCTGCTTTCCTGTTATTGCCAATCTAGTGCCAAGCTGGGCAACATGTGGAGAACATGGTCTCCGAGATGATAGGTTATTTTACAACCGATTTGATGGTTTGTGATGGGTCATTCAGTCTACCAGTTTGGTGTACCAGTTCGGTCTGCTTGGGTAATCTTATGCCCAYTTAATGCACCTCAAATAACAATGCTTAACAGGAAAATAATGAAGCAATCTTGCCTTGCTGGCTTGCACAATGTGGTAACTGTCTTCTGGAAGAGGTTTGTTTCTGATGCAGTTTGTTCTGTTGTACTTTGAAGTGGGAATGGCAGAACAGAGAACAAAACTGTASCTAAATGGTCCGTGAAAAGTATGGAGATCCTCTCTGCAGAGGAGACTGGCAGCCCAATTTGTTCAAGTTTTGGTCCCAGCAATGATAGCCCTTTAAATTTAGGGGCTATTTTATGAGCAGGCTTCMTGGGAAGCATTTTTCTTGGTGATTCTTCCTCTTTGAATCTGAGAGAGAAACATAAGGTATAGCTTTTTTCCCCACCTTTTTTTAAATGTTATTTTTAGCCAGTAGTGTACGAAAACACATGTTTGTTGGTCTCTGCTTCAGATTGCATTAGCATTTGCAATCCATGTATATGAGGTTTTTCCTGAAGAAGTTTCAACTCTGTGCCTCGCCTCTCTACTTCTCTCTGTTAGCCTGGCATATCTTCCTAGAGCTTGTATTATTATAGGTAAGCACACCTTAGAGAAATAATATTGCTCTTAACTATTGCCTCCTGTAGGACAATAGAGGTACCAAGTTGGCTTCAGAAATATTTTACCCTGCTCAATATATTATAACTTTTCCTGTTTTTGCTAGAGTCCCCTCCACAAAATGAGAGAAATACTCCCAGCCCCATTGATCCTGACTGTGTAGAAGTTGAGGTGAATTTTAACCCTGACCCTGCTGATTTAGTGCTGTCCAGCGTGCCTGGTGGTGAGCTCTTCAATCCTCGCAAGCACAAGTTTACTGAAGAGGACCTGAAACCACAGCCTATGATTAAAAAGGCCAAGAAGGTTTTTGTCCCGGATGAGCAAAAGGTAACAGTTTATTACTGCCGACTTCTAGGGCTTCATCAAAGCTTTTGACTCTGCCCAAAGCCAATGTGCTGCTCCTACGTGGTCAGGCTGAAGGGCTACCAAGAACAGAAGCAGCAAGTCGCTTGGTGTTGGTATCATGGGCTGTCACTGGGCAGGAACAGCTAGGTGTTACACACGGAAATTACAAAATCTATCAAGTCACAGCCTCGTTCACTGCCTTTTTGAAGGCCTGCGTATGCATTTGCTAAGCAGTCTGCCTGATCCAGTCTTCAGCTTTCCAGGGAAGCTGATTCTTGAATTAAAACAAAGTAAAGGGGGCACTTCAGATGGACAGCTTCTTAGTAGCCAGGTTTTTTACTCTCCTTAGTTGTAGCTGTGCCCTCGTTTTTTTCCCAAGAGCAGCCTGACATAAGGATGAAATCTTGCAGTGCTGTGTAACCTGTGTTGTAGTGTCAGAGCCCTGAAACCCAAAGAAGAACCTTCTTCAGCAGAGCAGTTAGTGTGACTGCCATTGTTCAGCTAAAATGCATCTATTTGATACAAGATGCCACACTGACGGACTGCTATCTCTGGTTTTTCTTTTTCTTTTCTTTTTCCCTGCAGGATGAAAAATACTGGACAAGGCGAAAGAAGAACAACGTGGCAGCCAAGCGCTCCCGCGACGCGCGGCGGCTAAAGGAGAACCAGATCACCATTCGGGCAGCCTTCCTGGAGAAAGAGAACACGGCCCTGAGGACGGAGGTCGCGGAGCTGCGCAAGGAAGTGGGGCGATGCAAGAACATAGTTTCTAAATACGAGACCAGATACGGACCCTTGTAAGCACACCCCTTTTCCTTGTTAGGGCTCCACGTTTTAGCCTCTTAGACTTCTCTGCCTTCTGTAGAGACTCCCAGAAATAAAGCTTGTGGAGGCTTTGCCCTTTTGCATCTATAAACAGCAACAACAAAAAGTTCCTGTTGGCACAACTTGTTCAGGCCCTTTCCTGACCTTGTGTTGCCAAAATTTTAAAAAGTGTCAATATACGTCTTTGTTATTAACACAGATAAAGCACTTTCTAATGTTGTRTGAGAGAACAGATTGACCTGTCTAGAGGAACAGGAGTGAATCTTTCCTGACSAGACAGGACTCTCGCTTTCTGTTCTAATCTCCATTTTTAAGTGGAGAAAGAGCCCACGACTCTGGTTCTTGTGGGTGGATGGTTTTTGTTTGTTTGTTTTCTTTCATTTTAATTTTTTTTCCCTGCCCCTTTTCCCTGCCCCGGTTGAATTGTAAAACAGACTGAACATATAAATAGATGTTGCTGGGCAGCATTATGAAATAATTTTCTGTCCTGTTTAGGGGCGCTAGAAAGCACCTGAGTGCTTTCGCCTTTCCCAGAGAAGGACTCTGCTCCTGTTTAAGAGGAGTAGGAGAACCTTTAATATAGAAAATATTCAATATCCTGTAGAAATAGACGTGTCATTAGGTTACAGAACATGTGTTTATGCAGACCAGAGTCAGYGCATTGTTGATAAAATACTGCTTAAGCATCTTGGTAGGATCTAACTCTGGATAACTTCCAGAAAGGCAGAATAGGGAGTAGTAGGATTTGCCCTTTTTGCAGATAGGGACAAAATAATTTGGCTTTCAGGCTGTCTTTTTCCTCTCTTACCACAACCCACCAAAGAGACTTTCCTGCTCTTGCTGGTGGTGCAGCACGTGACACCCAATTGGCAAGTGAGGGAAGTAGCCCCATGTAGAGAAAAGGGGAGTGGGAGGGGAAGTCTGGCTCACATAGGCAGGACCTGTGGCCCAACTGTTTGGGAACTGCCAAAACATTATGGTTTAGAAGGAGAGGGATTTTTGATGTCATTTTAAAGCAACAGGTAAACCAGAGGCCATCACTTTGCTGCACCTTACCTGCCGCACAAGAGCTTGTGCAGGACTCGTGGTCCTTGGCCTTGTGAATGTGCTAAGAACCAGCCCGAGCCCCTCTAAACACGAACAGCTTACTCCATGTAGCTGGGTATCTCCTCTCCATGCCTGCTGGTTCTCTCTCCAGCGAGATTCCTGCTACAAAATTGTCACATAAAACCTGTCCTCATGGCAGTAATTCACTCTGAGCACTGCACGCTGCTTCAGCAGTGCATGGTATTAAAAGAGAGCTGTTCTGTGTGATACTGGGACCTTCTCCATGACCTCCAACTGCAAGAACCAGAAACTTGAGCAGAACTATTTGTCTAGAAGCCATCTTAACATAGTGGCTATGTTGGGATTCCTAGGCTACGCTTCCTGGACTTGTACTTATATTAGGGTGTAAATGTAGGACAGGTATTTAGGCTAACTTCCAGCTCCCCTACCGAGCTCAGTGAAGAACCCCCCAGCACTTTTTATATATATATTTTTAATACTAAAGATTTCTTGCCTAGCTTGTCTTTTAAATGCGACATGGAAATTGGAGACCAATTGTATGTTGACGACTTAAGCAAGTGGAGAAACAGGCTTATTGAGAATGTTTAAGTAAACGTATATTATGAACTATTTTCCCCTCTCTTTTATGTTCCAATTTGACCAGAGTGGCTCTTTGTGCAGTGTTGGTCTGATTTCTTTCAAACATACAAAAGATTGTCACCCTTTCAGCAGGGGGTTTTCTCTCCCAGGGTGGTGTGTGGTGGTAATGGTGGGATGTATGTTAYAAATAAATTGTCACACTTAACGCTTTGCTTTGTTTAAAGTGACTTATCTGATTCCGAGTGATGCAACCTTAAAGACTTATAAAAACAAAGAAACTAAAAAGCACACATGAATCGCCAGTCTTCAGAGTGAGCGTGAAATCTGTGAGGTGTCCCAACACAAACAACTGACGATGACCCTGCCTGCCTGCTTGCCTGCAAGTACCCCATCTGAACTACCCAGGGCTGGGCATGATGACAAGTGCAAAGTCTCCTTAATTCTGTATATGCTTTCTTATCTGTCTCTCTCACTGTAACCATGAACTACAATACGCTTGCGTACTGGGGTTTTGTCAAGACACTCAAAGTTCATTTCTCCAAGTCTGTCGGCAACCTGTGTGAATAGTGACTCTTTGTTCTGGCACTGGCGTGGAGGAAAAGGAGTTGCTTTACGTGGAAGGGGCTCTGTGTATTGAGAACTGCTAAACAGATGTTTCTTTTTTCCTGCAATAAGTACTGCAGTGCTCCTCTGGTACAGCGTAGCATCCCATATTGCTGATGCACAACTGAAGGCACCAGGGAAACAGCAGTCTATAAGGTGTAAGCCTGTCAGGGCGGGAAGGTACAGCACAGAAAGCACCACAGTGTGCCATGCAAAGAGAGTAATAAACTCCTAGCAGGTGACTCATGTAATAACAAAACACTTCATTTGCTTTCCTGTCCTGGAGTTACACACCTGTAACCTACCTTTGCTTTTGTTTTTCCCACCTTCTTATAAGGCTGACTTTCTTCTATGGTATYTGACTGAAACAAGATCTGTTCTCCCCTTGCTGTTCAGCAGACATGAGAAGGGTGTTGGTGTGAGCTGCTGATCCCTGTGTCTTTCAGCAGTCCATCACCACCAAAGGAGTTRATCGCCAAAACAACGACCTAGCCCCCACATTACGGTTTCGGGCTCCTCTTGACTAGGGTGGGGAGCAAATACTCTGCTCATCTGTTCTATAAATGTGAAGCAACCAGTGATTTTGGAGTCGCTATGGGCTGCTTTACACTATCCAGGCCTTTGTGCTGGTACAGGGGAGCGGGTGAAAGCTTGGACAGATTGTGGGGATGCCTGTTGTGTGTAGAGTATGGAGGAGGTAGGTGGAGGTTCCTTTGAGAGTCTCGTCAGCCTAACAAGAGGCTACTCTTATACCGAGGAAGCTCAACAGCTAAATTCATGTGGGAAGAAAGAGCACTTAATTTCTTGGAAAGTAGTATAGGGCTGTGCTCGGAGCCAAGATGAAGCTTGGCAGCCAGGAGCGAAAGATGATCAGCCTGCTTCTGCCTGGAGAGTAACAAGCAGCATGCACTTTGAGGGAAAATATTCCTGAAAGTTTTTCAGAAGCACAAATGCCTAAGGAGGAGGCACAGTTAGTTACCAGAGAAGTTTGACGTGCAATCGAGTAATTTTATTTTATTTTAATTTTGCATTTACCTGAGAGATTCTGCCCTGAATTTCTTAGCAGAAAGGTGAAAAGAAAAAGGAAAAAAGCAGCAGATAATGTTAGGTAAAACAGTAAAACAAAAAAGAGCAACAAAACAACTGTGGAAGGCATAAGCATTTTTTTGAAAGTATAACCCTTGTAAAGGGTGTGTACCTGAAATGCACTTCTTAACTATTTTTTGTGTGTGTTTGTGTGTGCTTTAATGGACCATGTTGATTTGGAGCTCTATAAACTTCTGAGATAGTCAGTGGGCAACCCGTTCACATAAATAACTTAGCTCYGTGTTGCTGAAATGTCAGCATATATCACTACTTGTATCAAATATTACAGATTTGGACTGATATTTTTTGGTAGGTACTGTTTTTTGTGGCTTTATTTTGGTGTTAAAGGCCTTGCTATGGATTTTTAAAAAACATACTGACAGCCTGTAAATATAGCAAGTTTTTTTTCCCACTATTTTGGATTTTTCGGTTAGCTTGGAATGGCTGTTCTTGAAAGCCATGCTTGCTGTTCAAGTTGCAGTCCTAATGGATGTGGTAACTGGACAAGGAGTCGCTAGTTCTTCATTCAGGTCTTGCTGTCTTAYTGCTTAGGAATATCCTTTAAATACTCGAGTGTTGTGTACAGGACTTGTTTTTGCAGTGTGTCATGCTATATCAATAGCAAAATCTTTAGTCAGTAAGAATAGTCTGTGCAATTCTCTTGCTTTTTGTATTACATCAAAACTTTATACAGTGGAAAATAACCGTGAATGTTTTAAATATTTCTTTCCGAGAAGACTGTTAGCAAACTCTTGAGCTTCCCTGTAGACCAGCGCAGAGGTGCAAATTCTGTGATTCACATGTCTACAGGTTGCAAAACTGGAAAAATCACACTTCAGGGGAAGAGTGAAGTTGGAGGATTTCTTCTTTTTCTGCTGAGAAACAATGTCTTCAAAGATATAGCTGAGATGGCAGTAGCTCTTCAAAGGAATATAGTTTTTGCAGGGCAATACCTATCTGTGCAAAGCTGAATTCCTCTTTCAGCATTTGCAGTCTCAGGAAGCCAGGCTTGCAGCTTCAGAGCTCTCCTTGCAGAATGATTAACTTCTTAATCTCATTTCTTTGACTAGGATGATTATCCTATCTGTGTAAGCTATAACTTCAATACATTTTCCATAGGGGTCTTGAGACCACCAGTACTATTTTAACTGAGTTTGAGTGATACAAGCTGCTGAGTCAACACTGCTGATACCTGAAGCTGTAACCGTAGCAGTGCCCAATGCCAACATACCCCATTCCAGCTGTAAAGGGACCAGCTCTGAGGGGCAGGAGTAAAGGGAGTTCCCTCTTCAGCATCACTGCAGGGATTGCCAGAGAAGGGGGCAGCGTTTCGGAAGCTAGGGAGCCCACAGTTCCCTAAGGAAGGGCTGAAGCCAGTGGTTGTTCCACGGGGAGTGTCCGGCAGCCGTCGCACAGCGCTCGCTTGCACAACACACAAACTGTTGATCATGTCTGGGGCGAGCGCGCTGCTGCATCAGAAGCAGGCAAGGAAGAAGTGATGCACAAAGCTTAAACGGAATTACTTTCATATATGGTCTTTAAATCTAAATGTAGCAGCATCTCCTCATAATAATGCACTGTTTTATTTAAAAATTCCCTAGAAGTCTTTTTCTCTTCTTCTTTCTTCTTCTCGCCACCAGTTGCCAAGTTCAGCTCCCACCGAAGCCAACAGCAAAGATCTCTACCTCCCTCAGGAGAAGGTCTTTACTTTCCGACATGGTGGTCTTAAGATTTAGGAAGCACTGGAGCTGTGGGTGTCAGTGCTCTCCTCTGGAGCACTCTCTGTTGGGACCAGGTGGTTGTATCTCAGATCGTGTTTGTGAATTGACCCCTTCCCACCTCTTACTCATTTACRCAAGATAGTGATACATTTCTGATATTCAGGCAATCTGATTAATTTGGCTCTTCTCTGTTTTTTTTTTCTTGCTGCTTGGTATGTGTGAAAAAGGTGTGCAATAAACATGTGCTTGGGAGAAGAAGTATTTTTTTAAAAAAAGAAAAAAAATAAGTTTGGCTTTCTGCAGTTCTTTAGTAACATTTGATGTGTTAGCAGTTCTGTATGTCTCTGCTATGCTGCTTGAAAGCCTGAGGTGTTATAGCTGTAAAAATTATTTCCAGCATTATCTGTAGGATTGCTACAGTTGGTCCCAAATTCACTTCAAGTTGGGAGGTGCAGTGGAAAACAAGCAGCCTTGAGAATACCATAGAATAATTACTTGTTATGGAAAAATATTTGTGTAGATAGCGGGGAGGGGGAAAAAATAAATTTTAAAAAAGGACTTGCACAGAAAAGAGCAGTGCTGCTTCAGTCCTGTAAATCCTTTCAGCTTCACAGGGTTCTGGGCCTTGTGATCAGATGCCTTCATTTTTAGCGAGTGGAGGTAGSGCAGACCAGATGGGCTTGTGCTCGTCCTTAGAGCTTCAGCTGAAGAAATGCAAAGTTATCCTAATATATTAAAGTTAACACTTTTGGTAACCTACATCTAAGTTCATAAAGAGCAAATTATTTTTGTTACTGCTAGTGTTTTGCCTTCGCAGCACTAGAAGATCTCAGCTAGCTTTCTATTTGTGTGTGGGGGGGGTATTTTTTTCTTTATATAAATATATATATATATACACACATATACATATAATTCTTCTTACCTGTATATCTACTAGTGTAACATGATAAAGATAAACCCTCAGTGAAATGTTGGGAAAGAGTAGATAAAAATAAGCTTAAGCCTAACTAAACTCCTGTGGAGATGTTGCCACAATGCTAACTGAGAAATTAAAATGCATTAATATTTGGTAATGCAGCTTTGTGATAAAGAATGTAACTTGTTAGTTTGGTAGTTTGTTATTTCTTACAGTGGATCACTGTCGGAATGCAAAGCCCTCAGGGGAAGTACAGATAGGAAAAAATACAGAGACTTGGCAAGGATGACAAAGAATGAAAGCAGAAATATGAAGGGCAAAGCAAGGTACTGACCTGAACCCGACTACTAAAACTGAGGTTTCACCATGTCCAGTTTTAGGACACTTTSGATCCCCTCAGTTTGGCATCATAGAGGAGACAGGCCCTTGGTGAGGTTTTGAGGATCTCTGTCCTCATTCCACAGTTCAGAAGAAAGTGCCAGGGGCCTAGAGCAGAGGAGAAGGAGGAGGAGGAAGAGGAGGAGGAGGAAGGTTCCTGCCGAAAAGGCATGACCAGGMGGTAGTGCTGTAGCCGTGTGCTGTTCCACTGAGACCTGTCCTGCCTGTATGAAGCTGTGTAGGGTAGTGCTGTGTCGTGGGGAAATGTATCTGAGGCCCCAAGACTTTAAGGCCTCAATTCTGCTGCCCGTTCTGCGTGGGATGAGCCTTGTATCCGTACAAAACCACGGGGACTTGACAGCATCTGCTTATGAGCGTGAAGCTCTGCCCAGTCAGTCGGCTGCAGAATTGTGCCCTTAACACGTGATCAGTTGTAGTTACATGGCTGTTTATCGTAACTGTCATTTGGGTGCCTATTATGTAGCCAAAACCCCTGTTATTTCACTCCTCCCAACTAAAGCATGAACAGAAGCTCTTTGCTGTACAACATCTGTATTAAAAAAAAAAAAAAAATGTACTTCATATTTGTCTAGTAACTTAAGGCATGTGATTTGTGGGCCGTGGGTCTCAACAGACTTTGCTCATGTAGCTGCCTGAATGTTTTCCAAGATCTGCAGCCGTGTCTCAGTGTGAAGGGATGGTGGGATCCGTTTACCTGAGCGAACGGAAGAGCAGCTCTCGCCTGTGCCCGCGCAGGGGGCTGCTTGCTACTGGTCAGGATCACGGAAGGATGCATCTTCTGCACTTTTATGTGAATTTGTCTACAATATGGTGATTAACATGATTATTGGAATACTGTATTTTGTATAACTTAGAGTATGTAAATACACTTTTAAAACTAATCTGTTCTATGAAGTAATAAATAAGTGCTTCCATTGTAATATCTGAATATTGTTAATGCTTCATGTAGCTTCATTTGGGAACCTCTTCCCTAGAGGACTACAGAAATCAAAACAAAGATTGATGTTGTGGAATTCTAGTCTAGTTGTGGTGCTTTGTATCAGCGAAAAAAAAAAAAAAAAAACATGTTTTAAAAAGCGAGCTACACTTGAGCAGAGAAGCTGATCCTTTGAGGGACCCGAATCTCCTTCAGTTTTTCTTGAGCAGTAGTCACTGCTGTGACTTTCATAGTTGTGTTCTTCCCATCCCATCTGCTGGCCAGTTAACTAATTCACCAGCTGCACCTGGAAAGTGGCAGTATCAAATTGCTCATAAAGCTCAGTGATTGAGAGAAAGTGGATTTTATTTATTTAAACTGTTTCTCTTTTGGCCTAGCCAGATGTGTCTCCATTCTGCAGCAAGTTGCAGGGAAGCAGTGAGCGACCGTTCCTGAAGCTCACTGGGAACCTAGGGAGGCTCATTGGGAACCTAGGGAGGCGGCATCTTGACTAGTCCTGTCGTGTACTCAGGTGAGGCAGGAGTTTGCCCTGGTGTGGCGAGTGTGATCGTGGCGCGATGAGCTTTGCTGAACACGTGGTCGCTGGGTGCTGCACAGCTGCAACTTGCGTCAGCTTTCACCACCTTTTCTGTGAGAGCCTGCT